TCTCTCTCATCGAGATGTTTCTAACTCTCTCTTCCTCTCTGTAAAAAAAAATCAATGAAATATATTTCAAAAAAATAATTTAAAAAAACCTTAAAAATTAGATTTTATTATTAAATTCTAATATTCACACATTCAACATCTGTACTCCTTTAAGAATAAAAATAAAAACGTCTCAGTACTCTACCCTGCCCCAATACCGCAGAAGCTTCCGTAGGCCCCTCCTTGATGGTATCTGTCTTCCTTCCCCTCCAGAGGGAATTTCCTGAATCTGGCTCTGTTTTCTTGATTTTATCTATTTGTTTTATCGTCTATATATGGAGGCCTCAACAGTTTCTGAACTTGACTTTGGGTATTTTTGAACTTTTCATGAACTCATACTTTAGGCATTTATCCACGACGTATTCTTTTTGCTCCACACAATCGTTCTTTTGCTCCTCTTCATTCCTGTGGATGTCTGAAACTGGCGCTCATTCGTTTTTGCTATATGACACGAATGCACCACAATTTATCCGTGCTGTGCCGATGGCCATTTCGCCTGCAGTTTTCAGCTGTTGCCCAGTGCGGTCAGGAGCATTCTTTTTTTTTTTTTTTTTTAATATATTTTATTGATTTTTACAGAGAGGAAGGGAGAGAGATAGAGAGCTAGAAACGTCGATGGGAGAGAAATATCAACCAGCTGCCTCCTGCACACCCCCCACCGGGATGTGCCCGCAACCAATGTACAATACATGCCCTTGACCGGAATCGAACCCGGGACCCTTCAGTCTGCAGACCGATGCTCTACCGCTGAGCCAAACCAGTTTTGGCAGGAGCATTCTTTTATATCTCTTTGTGCACATGTTCATATGTACCCGGCAGTGGAAATACCAGAGTTGACTGTATGCTCACCAGGACACCCACAGTCAAAAAGATAGGAAAGGTCGAGGCCCGGGACACATGGAACTCTCCTACCGTACTAGTGGAAATATAAAAAGGCTACAACCGCTCTAGAAAACTGTATGGTTATTTCTAGTAAAGTTAAACATACCCCTATCCTAAGATCTAGCAACTCCACTCCCAGGCATTTATTTACCCAAGGGCTGTGAGAGGGTGTGTCCACAAAAGGACTTGCACCAAGAGTTCACGGCCGTTTTATTCCTAATGACGCAAAACTGGGAACCGTTTAGATGTCCAGACAAGGAGAAGGATAAACTGCTGGTGCATACAGAGTGCTGGAGGAGGCTCTAAAACATGGCACCAGGCAAAAGGAGCCGGACGCCAGAGTATATACGCGGTGTGTGTGTGTGTGGTTCGAGAGCAAGTCAGCCCGATCTGCGGTGACAACTCAGAGGTGTGAGCGGTGGGTATTGCCTGAAGGGAGCTGGGGGACTTTCTGGGCTGATGGCAGAGCTCGGGTTTTACATAGATGCACACATGCATGGAAATGCATCAAGCTTTACCTGGAAAGAGTTCGGCATTTTATCATATATGAGTTAAACCTTACTGGGGGAAAATGGTTCCAAGTGAGATAAGGCTTGGGGATTGGGGTGTTCTATCCCACCCCATCCCACGGGCCCCTTAAGTGTCTACTGAAAGAATAAAGAAGCCTCGCTGTAACCGGTTTGGCTCAGTGGATAGAGCGTCAGCCTGCGGACTGAAGGGTCCCGGGTTCGATTCCGGTCAAGGGCATGTACATTGGCTGCGGGCACATCCGCAGTAAGGGGTGTGCAAGAGGCAGCTGATCGATGATTCTCTCTCATCGGTGTTTCTAACTCTCTATCTCTCTCTCTTCCTCTCTGTAAAAAATCAATAAAATATATTAAAAAAAGAAAAAGGAAAAAAAAAGAATAAAGAAACCTCATGAGCCAGGGGGCCCAGAAGGCTAGCCTGCTTCGTTTTTCTTTCAACAGAGGTGGGGACTGATGCCAAAGTGTGTTAGTGCACAACCCCCTTTCCTTCCCCTGGCTTTTTTATTTTATTTTTTATATCCGGGTATATGCATGGGCTTAGGGTGAATGGTCAGAGCAGCTGTAAAGGGAAGAAATCAGAATTAGTCAGTGGGCACCTGGAGGGACTGGGAATTCCCAGGAGAAAACAAGACAAGTGAAAGCACTTAGTGGGGGTCAGCAGTGGGTGACTTCCGGGGTTTTTAATGCGTGCCCGGGGACCTCTGACCTTTTTTAGTCCCAATGAGCAAGCTCCCATTTTTATCCATTCGCACTCAGTGCAAGCTGAGCCGCAGCTCAAGCTCCCGGGAGCAGCCAGGCCGCGGGGTTGCCAAAGCTTGGGCTGTCGCCAGACACTCCATTTCTGCGCTCTTTCCTGACGTGTGGCTGAAACTAGGGCTTCTCCTCTCCCCACCAAGGCGGTCCGTTACCTCGGCTGCCGCTTCGTTGAGTTAGAATCCCCGGGAGTTCTGACGCCCCTGATGGGAATGTTTCCTGTGGAGCCTCCTGTGCCAGCTCTGTCCCAGCCCCTGCCCCCCGTGGCCACCATAGGCTGCCCACCAGAGACCGGGTCTCCCCAGCGAGGCCCCTCTCTCCCTTCCCTCACTCAGCCTGGGCCGTCACCGCCTCCCAGGGCCCCTTGCCTCACAGCTGAGACTCAGGGAGCGGGAGCCTGTAAAACCAAGTTGTCTTCCTTGGCTGTTGGGCATGGAAATGGGCAGAGGGGGAACCGGAAGAGACCGTTCAGCCAGACACCATACCTGGAGTCGGGCCTGCCAGACGGCAGTAGAGTTGGAAGGCGCACACCAGAGCCAGTGCTGCTGGGGCCCCAGTGGGTGAGAGCCAGGAGCCCTGGGTGAGGCGTGTGAGGGAAGCTTCACTCTTTTTTTTTTTTTTTAATAAATATTTTCCTTGATTTCAGAGAGGAAGGGAGAGGGCGAGAGAGAGAGAGAGAGAGATAGAAACATCAACGATGAGAGAGAACCATTGATTGGCTGCTTCCTGCATGCCCCCTACTGGGGATCGAGCCCGCAACCGGGACATGTGGCCTTGGCCAGATTTGAACCTGGGACCTTTCAGTCTGCAGGCTGACGCTCTATCCATTGAGCCAAACAGGCCGGGGTGGAAGCTTCACTCTTGACCCTGTTAAACCAGCTTCTTGTATCTTCTTGTCTCTCCTCCCTGACCCTTGGCCAGTCACAGGCTTTGGACCAGATAGACCTGGACTCAAATCCTCCCTCCATTCATGAGGTCGTGACTTATGCAAGTTCCTTCACTTGTGTGAGCCTGGTCTTCCCCCCAGTGCTCACTGCCACCCCCCGCTGACGAATGCCATCCTTATTGGAATGTGCTGGCTCCTTTCCCTGACGGCTTTGACCCCAGAAACTTGAACTGCCACGAAGGGGCAGCTGAGGTTCTTAAACACAGAGGCAGAGAGGCCTTCTCTGCAGCCAGGGGACTCAGTGAGTGGTGTGAAGCCCAGGAGTCAGGTCAGAACTGGGCCACCAGGTTAGGCAGGAGCTGGAGGGGAGAGGAATAAGTAATCCTTGTGGTGTTGGGGCCAGGGCCCGGAGGCTGCAATCTCAGCATTGCCCTTGACCCTGCCCCAACTCCTTGGCGTATGGCATGGATTCAGGCCAAACCACTGGCAAGTGGCCTCTTCCCCCTGCTCTTGCCAGCCAGGGCAGCACCGGGCTCAGGCTGTCAGTGCCCCCAGGGGCCTTGGCATTCATTTTGTCCGTAACATACAGATGAAGACAATGCCCAGAGGGCTGGGGTTGGCCGTGGTGCTGAGCCTGGCACCCTCTGTTCAGACACAGTCATGTCCTGTCCCAGACACCAGAGCTGGAAGGATTGTTTGTTCCTGAGCTAATCCGGGAACGCCTCATCTCTAATCCACATGGAGAGAGAAGAGGGCAAGTGTCAGGGCCCGGGCCCAGCCCCTGGCGTCACTTAGAGGCTTCACAGGCACCAGGGTGGGAGTCCTGTCCGCAGTCCCCTGAGATCTTCTCCGGGATATTGTCCATTATTATATAAAATTACGTTTTACCTGAAATGAACAACCTCACATACCTGAGCTAGGAACATTTTAAAAACATTCTAGTAAGAGTTTATTATAGCCCTAACTGGTTGGGCTCAGTTGGCCTGCTGACAGAAAGGTCCCAGGTTCAATTCCGGTCAAGGGCACGTACCTGGATTGCGGGCACATCCCCATTAGGAGGTGTGCAGGAGGCGGCTGATCGATGTTTCTCTCTCATCGATGTTTCTAACTCTCTATCTCTCTCCCTTCTTTGTAAAAAACCAATAAAATAATTCTGTCATTTAAAAAAATGGTTGTCATTAAAAAAAAAAAGAGTATATTATGAATTGGTTCCACAGGCCACCAGGTAATAAAAGGACAATACGCCGAAGCCGGTTTGGCTCAGTGGTAGAGTGTCGGTCTGCGGACTGAAAGGTCCCGGGTTCAATTCTGGTCAAGGGCATATACATTGGTTGCGGGCACATCCCCAGTAGGGGGTGTGCAAGAGGCAGCTGGTCAATGTTTCTCTCTCATTGGCGTTTCTAGCTCTCTATCTCTCTCCCTTCCTCTCTGTAAAAAAATCAATAAAATATATTTTAAAAGAAAAGAAAAGAAAAAAGGACAATACGCAGCCTTGCAGGAAACAGGCAGGGAGCTGAGGGGGGCCACGATGAATCTTGGGCCTTGGGGAGCGCATGCCTGGGGTCAGGGCGGGGGCCCTGGAAGGCTCACTGGCCTAGGAACTTTCTAAACCCAATTCTCCCAGGGACTTTCCTTGTGACTCTAGGGAACCCCTTTCTGTCCTGTTTACCTTCTGGCTGAGGAGGGAGGGTGGCGGGCTGGCCTCGTCCTGAGGCCCCGCGTGAGGAGAGCAGCGGCCATCTGTGGGTCGTCAGAGGCGAGAGAGAGCCCTTTCTTTTGTCTGCCCTTCGGTTAGGTGGGCATCGCCTCTCCTCCCAGTCCTCTGGGACTTGGCGGCGGAGCTGAGGGGAGAACGCTTGTGCACGTGTGCAATTTTGTCTGTATGTTATTTTTCTCTCTCTCTGCAATTTCAGGGTCATGCTGAGGCAGCCGGGCGCCTGACACGCGAGGGGAACCTGCCAAGGGATTACTGCCAGCAGGAGCCAACGGCAAGACGGCAGGACGGCGGGCCCCTGAGGAGCGGGGATGGGCAGAGCTGCCTCTGAGTCCGGGCCGGCGGCACCAGGAAGGAGGCCTGGGCGCTGGCTGGGAGCCTGGCACACGCTCTGCTGACCCAGATGGCCCAGGCTGCGTTCAGAGCGGCCCGGCGCTGAGCAGCAGCCGTGCCCAGGCCCCAGGACTCCATCGCTGCAGGAGCTCGGTGGCCCGTTAGGCACCTGCAGTGGGGCCGGGACCAGCGGGAGAAGGGACCTGCACCTCCATCCATGGGAAGTGGAAGGACAGGACCTGTCGCAAGGAGGATCTTGGTCTCTGCAGCGGAGTTCTGGGACACCCCCAGAGCATCCTGGTTTCTTCCCTCGGGGTGGGGACCCAGTTCCCCTCCCCTGGCAGAGGCATTGTGCCCGGAAGACCATCTGAGGGGCGGCTGCCCCTTGCATGGAATCAAGGCTGCTTGAAGCCCACATGTTCTCTGTTGTGACTGGGGTTCGAGGGCTTCCCTGCTGCAGGGGACGAGGGGCTGCCTCGGTGTCTGCTCATGAACCACAGGGACCTCGACTGCTCCGGACTGGATCATTTCAAGCCGCCAAAGAGGGGGACCCCCAGAGCTGGCAGCCAGCAAGCCCAATGGACCAGAAGGCTGGAATGGACTGACCTCCCCCTCGCCAGGGCAGCAGGAGAGGCGGAGCATCTGTGGCCCAGCTAGTGGCAGAGGGACCCGATGAAGCCATAAGCAGGGGCCTCCGTGGCTCAGGGACAGGGGAGCCACTCTTGCCCACGTGCTTTCTCCTCGCCTTGAGGTCAGGCGTGGCCTAGGACCCCTGCTGCCATCTCATGCCCTAGGACACGCCCTTAGGCCCTAGCACGGGCAGGCCTGCCAGTGGGCTGGGAAAGGAGTGGCCCCAGGGCCGCCGGCCGCCCTCCCTCCGGGCTGGTGGTCCAGCCTCCCGGGGGCTCCGCACCATGAAGTGCTCCCTGCGGGTGTGGTTCCTCTCTGTGGCCTTCCTGCTGGTGTTCATCATGTCCCTGCTCTTCACCTACTCTCACCCCAGCATGGCCGCCCTGCCCTACCTGGACTCGGGGGCCCTGGGGGGCACCCACCGGGTGAAGCTGGTGCCTGGCTACGCCGGCCTGCAGCGCCTCAGCAAGGAGGGGCTCACCGGCAAGAACTGCGCCTGCCGCCGCTGCTGGCGCGACGCCGGGACCTCCGACTGGTTTGACAGCCACTTCGACAGCAACATCTCCCCGGTCTGGACCCGGGAGAACATGGATCTGCCCCCCGATGTCCAGAAGTGGTGGATGGTGAGAGAGGCGTGGCCCCTCCTGCCTGCCTTTGCTGCTCTTCTCCAGGGTTCTGTCCCACCACCCCATTTGGGAGTCACTGTTAGAGCCCCCTGTGGGATTAGGGCTGTCTTCTGGTCCTAGCATCTTTTTTTTTTTTTTCTTCTTAATTGATTTTTTTACAGAGAGGAAGAGAGAGGGATAGAGAGTTAGAAACATCGATGAGAGAGAATCATTGACCAGCTGCCTCCTGCACATCCTCTGCTTGGGATGTGTGCCCACAACCAAGGTACATGCCCCTGACCGGAATTGAACCTGGGACCTTCCAGTCCGCAGGCAGATGTGGTATCCAATGAGCCAAACCAGTCCGCAGGCAGATGTGCTATCCACTGAGCCACAAACCCAGGGCTCAAACAACAGGGCATTTTATTTTATTTTTGAAAGATTTTTTATTTGTTTTTTAAATATATTTGTATTGATTTCAGAGAGGAAGGGAGAGGGGGAGAGAGGGAGAAACATCAATGATGAGAGAGAATCATTGATCAGCTGCCTCCTGATGCCCCCTACTGGGGATCGGGCCCGAAACTGGGGCATGTGTTCTTGACTGGAATCGAACCCAGGATCCTTCAGTCTCCAGGTGGACACTCTATTCACTGAACCAAATAAGCTAGGGCTAAAGTTTTTTTTCAATTGATTTTTAGGGCAAAGGAAGGGGAAAGGAGAGAGAGAGAGAAACATCGATGTGAGAGTACAGCATTGATTGACCATCTCCTGCATGCTCCCTACTGAGGGTCTATGGAATGGAACTGGCAATATGTTGGTGCATGGGACAATGCCCAACCAACTGAGCCATACTGGCCAGGCACACTGGGCATTTTAAAGCCCTAGTTTGACCTTACCAATTGGTGGTGCGTGGGCCAGCCCACTCAGTGTTTTTTTGTTTTGTTTTTTTGTTTTTTAAATATATTTTATTGCTTTTTTACAGAGAGGAAGGGAGAGAGATAGAAAGCTAGAAACATCAATGAGAGAGAAACATCGACCAGCTGCCTCTTGCACACCCCCTACCGAGGATGTGCCCACAACCAATGTACATGCCCTTGACCGGAATCAAACCTGGGACCTTTCAGTCTGCAAACCGACGCTCTACCACTGAGCCAAACTGGTTTCGGCCCACTCAGTGTTTTTTAAATATTACTATTAATGGCCCGGCCAGCGTGGCTCAGTGATTGAGTATCAACCAATGAACTGGGAGATCATGGGTTGATTCCCAGTAGGGCCATCTGCCTGGGTTGCAGGCTTGATCCCTAGAGTGGGGTGTGCAGGAGGCAGCCAATCAATGATTCTTATCATTGATGTTTCTATTTCTCTCTCTGAAATCAATGAAAATATATTTAAAATAATAAGTATTACTGTCAGTTATCAGCATATATGAATCAGGATATTGCACATGAAATCCATACTTCCAGCTTCTCTTGGAAAGTTAGAAAATTTAGTCATTCTGGGCTCACACTCTCACATGGCAACAACTGACTGAAGTTGACTCTTATTGATGGATGGGGCCTCCTGTTTGCCCTGGGCCCCACCTGCCACTTCATTCCTGGGTGTCACCTGCCTTTGTGTGTGTGTGTGTGGGGGGGTTTTCACCTGCATGGCGGTGGGACATGCAGGAGACCAGTTTCATTCTGGCTGTTCTGGCATTGAAAGGAGGTCTGCGCCCCTCCGCCTTCCCCGGAGACTCAGGAAGTGGCTCCACATATCCCATGAATTCTTCCCCGGGCAGCTTCAGACACCCCTACTCCCTGTAGACTGATTGGGAATGAACCCCTGCAGCTCAGCGGTTCTTTCCACCTTACCTCCACCTCAAGACGACCTCTCGATGTGACTCAGAATTCCCCGAGGGGACAGCTGAGCAGGGGCCTCTTCATGCATGAGGAGCCACCCAAGAAGTTTTTCTGTTCCTGGGACAGGCCTACGGGTCCCCGGAGAATGTGCCTTGGCCTCCAACACCCCTCCAGTGCATCATAGCAGCTGGAAGGGAGACTTGACTGTTGTTGAGGGGAGGGTCCTCACTGCTCAGAGAATTCCTGCTCCCTGACAGCCTGGTTAGGGTTCCTGTGTGGCTTGGATGTTGGTGGGGAGGGAGAGAGGTCGCGGGAAAGGGAGGGCAGACAGGAGTCCCTCTATGCTCACACCCACTCCCTTCCCCTCCCCTCTACAGATGTTGCAGCCCCAGTTCAAGTCACACAATACCAACGAGGTGCTGGAGAAGCTGTTCCAGATAGTTCCAGGCGAGAACCCCTACCGTGTCCGGGACCCCCAGCAGTGCCGGCGCTGTGCCGTGGTGGGGAACTCCGGCAACCTGCGCGGCTCTGGCTACGGGCCGGACGTGGACGGGCACAACTTCATCATGAGGTGAGCCGCGGGGACTGGACTCCGTGGCCTTGTCGGGCAGTGGAGGAGCTACCAGCTGCTGGGGCTGCTATAGGTCTCCAACACCCAGACCTGGGATAGTTTCTCGCCTTGGTTGGGGTGGATGAGGAGGCAGCAGGATTCCCATTCAAGACTTTGCTTGAGGCCCATACCCAGTCTCCAACTCTGAGTAAGTCTGAAAAGTGCGGAAAACCAGGCTCCTGGCTGGCTGCTGGTGAGAACGCCCACCAGAGGCCCTCCCACCTGCCCGGTGTCCTCAGCAGTTGCACCCAGACCAAACCAGCATCTTGTTTACCAGTGAGAGCCACAGGTGATTCCTCCTGGAACTCAGAAGAAGAAAAGTAGAATCAATCAAACAAGCAGAAGGATGTCCGGTGCTTGCCCTGGGCTGCTGTGCTTTATGTCACAAGGTTTCGATTTGGGGGGAACGGGGGCCTCACTCCTTCAACAAGACATCGGTGCCCAGTGCCCAGCCTTGAGGACAGAAGGCTTGGATGGGCATTCATTCCACACAGGGGGACACTGAGCAAGAAATCCGGGGATGGACAGGGAGTAAGAGTGGACTTGTGAGCCGAGTGTGGGCTGCTCCTTCTGCCCTGAACCTGTTTTCTGACTTCTTCTCTAGTCTCGGAGGCAGGAAATGCCACCCCCACTCCTTGGAGGAAAAGCGCTTAAAGACTAAGACACCGAAAATGCCCCGTTTTCACCAAGCCTCTCGTAGGATGAGCATCGCAGAAAGACGCGTTTCCCAGGAGGAGGAAGGAAGGGCTTTATCTTAGAATCTGTTGCTGTCTCCATAGCAACACCAAGGCAGCAGTGTCTCTGAGGCTTTCCTCGTTCCTTGCAAAACCCTTCTTACAGTAGAATGGTGCAGTACAGGGGAGGGGGATGCTGGGCCCCCATCCAGGAACCCTGAGCCCCTGAGATGCTCCCCATCGTCCAGTTGCCGGCAAAGGAGGCAAGCTGGGAGCTGGAGAGGGGCCTCTGTTTCTCCCAGAGACAGTGGCTGAGGCTGGGGAAGGAAGCGGCCATGACTCCAGGCAGCCTTGGAATGCCTGAGAAACGTTCTAGACTGCCTGAAGCCCCGCCTCCCTCGCCCTGCCGTCTGCGTCTCGGGGATGGTTGGGAAGCTCCAGAGTAGAAGCACAAGAGACAAGCTAAAGAGGCTTGGCTGCTGTGACAGCGGGCGGCCCCCTCCTGGGGCCAAGCTCCAGAAAGGAATTCACAGATGTTCCCTCACAGGGACCAGGCTAGGAGGCAGGGTCTGTTACCGTGGACCCCAGAATCGATGTATGGAAGGGGTGACCCAGATGGTAACTGGCTGGCTGCTGACCTAGGAGGAGCCGGTTGCAGTGGAGGTGACTCTGCTTATTTTGGTTTGGAACCAGAGGGGAGGCCTCCCTTCCTGGAAGCAGGACCCATGCGAAGACCCCACTGGGCCGAAACTGGTTTGGCTCAGTGGTAGAGCGTCAGACTGCGGATTGAAAGGTCCCAGGTTCGATACCGGTCAGGGGCATGTACGTTGGTTGTGGGCACATCCCCAGTAGGGGGTGTGCAAGAGGCAGCTGGTTGGTATTTCTCTCTCATCGATGTTTCTAGCTCTCTATCTCTCTCCCTTCCTCTCTGTAAAAAACCAATAAAAATATATTAAAAAAAAAAAAAAAAAGACCCCACTGGGAGGGCCAGGCTGAGTCACAATGAGATGATGGCTCTGCCCACCTAACGGCCTCCTCCTCCTCCTCGTCCTCCTCCTGAATGTCCTCTGAGCCCTGCCAACAACTCAGAATGGCGTCGAGCTGGTCCTGCCTTAGCTGGGTATTAAGGGCAGTTCCTGGCGTATCGTAGCCACACGTACACGAATGAATGAAAGGGACTAGTCACCAACGCCTAACCGCGAATGCATGCCCACCCTGCCTGTGCCCCTGCCCCCAGGTCTTCTCTGGCGGCTGGAGGCAGCCCAGGGCAGACAGAATTCTAGAATGCTTTGCCCTCGAGATACAGGAATATAACAGCTCATCCTCTGCCCTGCTCTGCCAGGGCTTGGCTTCTCCAGAATGAATCCAAATCATCCTCTAAAACTCTTGTACCAGTTTGTTTGTTTTTTGCTTTTTTCTTTGTGTGTGCACCAGTTTCTATGGCAGCTTCTTCTCATGTCCACCTCTTGTCCCTGCAGAATGAATCAGGCACCAACCGTGGGCTTCGAGCAGGATGTTGGCAGCCGAACCACCCACCATTTCATGTACCCCGAGAGTGCCAAGAACCTGCCCGCCAACGTCAGCTTTGTGCTGGTGCCCTTCAAGGCCCTGGACCTGCTGTGGATCGCGAGCGCCCTGTCCACAGGACAGATCCGATTGTGAGTCGCCCGCTGACGGGGAGTGCCGTCTGGGTGACAGGCCCACCTTGGGAGGAGGGCCTGGGGTCTGGACCTTAGAATTCCTTTAAGTGACTGTTTTGGCCGAGAGGGGCTGGTGAGGAGGGAGGTATTAGGAGGGAGGGCCCCAAGTGGTGCTTTAGCCCAGGCCTGAGCATGTTCTTTGTCAATTCCTGCATGGGGATGTGCCCGCAACCAAGGTACATGCCCTTGACCGGAATCGAACCTGGGACCTTTCAGTCCGCAGACTGACGCTCTACCACTGAGCCAAACCGGTTTCGGCGATGCAGTGGCTTTTAGCCTATTCAGAGTTGTATAGCCATCACCACAATTAATTTCAGAGCCCTGTCATGTTCTCAAAATGAAAACCTTTCATCTGAAGATCTAAAGACACCCCTATGCACCTTAGCCATTGCCCCTACTCCCTAAACCCCCAACCCCACGGCAATCACTAATCAACTGTCTTAACCATGGTTTTAGTTTTGTGTGCAGCAAAATGTATGTAACTTAAAATGTACAATTTTAATTGTACAGTTCAGTAGCATTAAGTATATTCACATTATTGTGCAAACATCACCACTACCCACCTCCAGAACTATTTTATCATCTCAAATGGAAACTGTAGCCATTAAGTAATAACTCTTCATTCCTTCTTCCTCCAAGACCCTGATAATCACTGTTCTTTCTGTCTCTATGATTAGACTATTCTAAGTACTTCCTATAAGTAGAATTATGTAGTATTTGTCCTTTTACATCTGACTTATTTCACTTTTAAGGTTCATCCATGCTGAAGCATGGCTCTGATTTCATTCATCTTATTTTTTAAAATATATTTTTTTATTGATTTCAGAGAGGAAAAGAGAGGGGGAGAGAGAAACATCAGTGATGAGAATCATTGATTGGCTGCCTCCTGCCTGCTCCCCACTGGGGATCTGTAACCCTGGCATGTGCCCTTGACATCGAACCCGGGACCTTTCAGTCCTCAGGCTGACGCTCCATCCACTGAGCCAAACCGGTTTCGGCTCATCATGTATTTTTAAACACAGAAGTATAAGTCACAGTGCCCTGACTTTATGTTTGGGAGACCTAAAAGCTAAAATAAATGCTATAGCGTTTAAACCTCATAGATTTAAAAGGGATTAGAAAAGGGGTGTAGGTTATGGGTGTCATGGCTGGCTAATAGGGAAGGAGGGACTTGTGCCAAATGTGAGGAGAGTAGCAAAAGTGTCAGGTGGGCACAGGTAAGAGCACGCTCGGCGCGTTTGAGATGATTGGCTAACTCAAGTGGAGAGTCCGTCGCAGAGAGTTGTGGGAGAAAAGTTGGGGCTGGCATATGGAAGGCCCAATGTATGTCTAATAAAACATCCTTATTTTACCCTGAAGGGCAGGGGAGCCGTTGAAGGTTCTGAGCGAGGCACTGCAGTGATAGGGTGTGGGAGAGCAGACTGGAAGCAGGGGCTCTTGTGGTGAGGCTGTCATCACTCCAGCCTGAGCAGGAGGAAAGGCGTCTAAATGTTTTCGTGTGTTTTCGTTTGCTCGCAGTACCTATGCTCCAGTGAAGTCCTTCCTTCGAGTAGACAAAGAAAAGGTAAGTTCCCTCCTCGGCCCCCTTCTTTACCCCCACCCTCATTGGAAACTGTGCAGACCTGACCTCCTGGTGTGCCTGGTCCTGTGGCTCAGGGATCCCGTAGTGCCCTTCCGGAACCTTCCGTGTCCCCGCCTGCTGGGATGCCTGACCTCCACAGAGGCTGCAGGGAACCAGGGGACACAGATGATCAGGTCCAAGGGCGAGCGTGGAGGAACTGGCACAAGCTACCCAGAGCCTGGCCTGTGCCTCTAGGACCCCCACCCCTCCCGCCAAACCCTCATGTGCCTGTCACACTTCCTCCTCCAGGTCCAGATCTACAACCCAGCCTTCTTCAAGTACATCCACGACAGGTGGACAGAGCATCACGGGCGGTACCCTTCCACAGGGATGCTGGTGGTCTTCTTTGCCCTGCATGTGTGTGACGAGGTGGGTAGCTCAGTCTGCGGGTAAATAGGGGGACCCATGGAACAAGGGAAAGCAGCCCTTCTCAGGGCTCCGTAGTGCTTCAAGAGGAATGTGTTTTGTTTTGTTTTAAATATATTTTATTGATTTTTTTTTACAGAGAGGAAGAGAGAGAGAGATAGAGAGCTAGAAACATCGATGAGAGAGAAACATCGACCAGCTGCCTCTTGCACACCCCCTACTGGGGATGTGCCCGCAACCAACATACATGCCCCTGACCGGAATTGAACCTGGGACCTTTCAGTCCGCAGGCCGACGCTCTACCACTGAGCCAAACCGGCTTCGGCAGGAATGTGTTTTTGTAGGCAGAAGCCAAGTGGCTTTGGTTTCTCCCCATTTCTAGGCAGTGTAGCTCTGCATTTCCCAAGCTTCTTTCTTTAATTTGACCAAATCTGAAATCACTTCATTCGAAAGTTAAATTTATTTACAAAGGAAAAAGAATACTACTTCCGTAATTGATATTACTTGCCGTAAAGAAAAATAAATAAATAAAAACATAAATAGAATAGAATGGAGATAGTGTAGTTAAAATTCAGGGGGATGGTTATCTCCCAGGCCTGCTCTCTCCTTAAAAATGGACATTAGTCATATAAGGAGGCATCTAGCAAGTGGGCAGGGGAGCTCTGCCATACACTTTAGTGCTCACACCCAGCATACCCACTTTTGCCAGTAAATCCTTTAAGGTAGGGTATTGGGTACTTGACCAGTTTTCAAATAAAAGTACTCCATAAAAAAAAAAAAAAAGTTAGCAAGAATAGGGCTAGCCCTGTATTGGGGCGTTGTTCTTGAAGCAATCAGACGGGTGGAAGGAGCTGAAAGGGAGCAACCATCCCCTTGGATCAGTGTCCTTAGCCCAGGCTTGGGTGTCCCCTCTTCCCATGCATCCTTCGCTCTGGGAGTCAATCGATTCGCTGGCGGCCTCCTGGGTTGTCGGGTCGCTGCGGCTCCTTTCTCCTTCCCCACTACTACCCAAGGCTCTCCCGAGGTCCGACGTAGGGTGACTTGCACCGCCCTCCCCTGCAGGTGAACGTGTACGGGTTCGGGGCTGACAGCCGGGGCAACTGGCACCACTACTGGGAGAACAACCGGTACGCGGGCGAGTTCCGGAAGACCGGCGTGCATGACGCCGACTTCGAGGCGCACATCATCGACATGCTGGCCAAGGCTAGCAAGATCGAGGTCTACCGAGGCAACTGAGAAAGGTCTGGCCGCGACTCTTAGGGCCCGCCGCCCAGCGCCTGCCTGCCTGCACGCCCGCCTGCGCTCGGGGTCGGGACCCGAGACCAACCCCAGGGTGGCGGCTTCCGCCCACGCGCGCGTCGCAGGGCGTGGGGCGTCGCCTGGCAACGCTGAGCGCGCCCGCTGTCTGGACCAATCATGCTGCAGCCCAGCGAGCGCCGGCGGTTCCCTGCCAATCACAAGACTGGGCCTGGCACCAAATCCACGCTGGTTTATCTCAAGTCAATCACACTCCTCCACTCGAGCCAACTTCCGGCGCTGGGCCCGTCTCCTCCAATCAATGGCCTTCGGGGGCGGGCGAACCGGCCGACTCAGCCCCCACAGCCCGAGGCTCTTGGGTGGGGTTTTGTTTCACGCTTTTTAAAGGGTGGAGGTGGGAGGAGTACTTTCTTCAGTCTGGGTCCCAGCTGTCGCAATTGCTCGATCCTCCCCGTCCCCTAACCCCACCCCGCCAAGGATGCCGGGAAGGAAAGGGAAGGGTGGGCCGGGGGTCCCACGTGGCCGTCCAGAGGTCCAGGAACGGTCCATGTGACTTAGGGGAGCGCTCTTTCACCTCAAGAGGCAAAAGCCAGAACCCTTTCCAGATCTCTCCAGGCTTCCGAGAGAATTGTAAGGCCTCACATTTCATTTCATTGTTTAGTCCGAGATGGGTGTGAACCCACCAAAGAAATGCAGTGAGAATCCAGAGGGCGAGTGGCCCCCCTCATCCTACCGCCCGTCCCTCCCCGCCTCTGGCCACCCTATGGAATGGCCTGACCAGGGCAATTAAGTGTCTCTCACCAGGAAACGAACTGTGTTCATTTACCTTTTGCTTGGGAGCGGAAGTCGCCTCCTAGCCCCTAATGCGAATATAGGTGTAAGGAACTGGGCAGGAGGGGACAAGGAAGCCCCCTCACATCCAATGTAAGGTGCTTCTCACTCACATGTATTCTTGGCCCCTACCGTTTGCTACAACTTTGAGTGTCTCCTTAGGCCTTGGGCCTCCTCACCAGCCTACTTGCTCTAGGAAAAAAAAAAAAAAAAAAAAAAATCAAAACATGCCCTGGGATTGATTAGGGCGCTGCTGCTTTCTCTCTCTCTCTCTCTCTCTCTCTCTCTCTCTCTCTCTCTCTCTCTCTCTCTCTCGCACACGCACACGCACACGCACACGCACACGCACAAACACGTCTTTGGCTGGCTCAAGGGAGAGGGAGCCACTCGTGGCAAAGAAGGCTGGAGCCCAGCTGCCTGGTGCATGCACCTTTTCCCTCCCTCATCGCCCCAAAGAGGAGTAAGAAACCTCTTGCTTGGGGGGTGGTTTTGCTTTGGGCTCATTACGTAGTTAACCTGCAATGACCAGGTATGGCTGACCAACACAAATTCTGTAAAAACCCCGAGCTGGCCGTGGAAATAGCTGGGAGCCTAGCTGGGGAGGAGTAGACTTGCCCGCCTGCATGCCTCCTCCCCTGCCCCTGGGTCCCCTTCCCCAGGCTCACCTCTTGCCTTCTCGCTCTAACTCACTTTCCATTTCCAGCTCAGGAATGGGCTGGGAAGCTAACAACCAGGGATTACAACTGGAAGCTACTTGCATGATTGAACACCCAGTTTAACCCCCTCGAGGAAGCTGTGGACGGTATTCAAGCTTCGAGGTCAGGGGGTTTTAGGAGGGGAAAAGAGCTTCTATGAAGCTTCAAACCACTAGAAGGACCCCTCTACCCAGCAGCGACAACACAAATACCACCCGTTTTCTTGGTGAGTTGGTACCACCGAGCAGCCTCCTGGCTGCTGGTGTAGTTCCTGCCGCTGGCTGGGGGAACAGTAACCAGAAGAGTATGAGAGGAGGCTTGGGGTAGAGCAGTGGGCACCCCCAAAAGTTAATATATTGAGAATTTAGCTGGATTCTGTTCCTAATTCCCAAAGTAGGTGAAATAAAGAACGGGGGTGGATTAGGGGAAGTAGGGCTTGGATGGATTGCCTCCTCCCACTGTTCTGGAGAGCGAGGGCACCAGTCATTTCTTGCCAGTCTCGATGCTTCCTGAAGAGGCTGTTTTGAGTGTTTAGAAGATGAAAAAACAATGCAATTATGCCAAACAGTATTGAGCAGAATAATTTATTTCATTTTTATTTGTGTGTTTGTTTAAAACATTAATAAACCCCCATTCTCGAAGAGGTAGGTCCCAGCATCCAGCTCAGATCTCCTTTTCTGCAATAGTTATTTAAACAAATGTTTTTTTTTTTAATTTTCTTCCCTTTCTCTCTAAATTACTAAAAAGGACAAAAATACTATATATAGTCATTAATCTGTTTTGAAATGTGTCAGTGGGGGAGCTGTCATTAAGTAAAGGCTAAGAATGTTGGGGAGATTTTGAAGGGGGAAGGTATCAACTCTCCAACACCCTTATACAGGAGGCCTCTCAACTCAAAGCCAGTTGCCTCATGTGAGAGCTAGAGGCCCGGTGCACGAATTAGTGCACTGGTGGGTCCCTCGGCCTGGCCTGCAGGGATCAGTGGACCTCCATGCTGCTGCTGCCTGGCCTTACCCACCAGCTCATCGATTTTGCACAGCACAAAGTAGTGCATGAATTGGCAGGCCAGGGAGGAGCCCGAGCATGGGCTGGGCGGCTGGGTGCCATGCCACTCCTGCTCATCCCAGCCCCACTGCGCCTGCCACCGCCACTCCCTAGACTCACGGCTACTCTGCTGCAATCTCCACAAGCCCATCCTGGGGTGATACTGGTGCACCCATGCCCACACAGCCACCACTTGTCATCACAGCCTCCTCATGTGACAGCCAGCTCGCATCCAGTCATTCCAGATGCCGGTCCCAATCCAGATGGGGGAGGAGCATGCAGAGGGAGTGTCCACTGGAAAGGTTCAAGCCACTGCAGCTGCGCTTGCCAGCCATGAGCCTGGCATCTGGCTTACGTAGGTCAGCTGAATGGCACTCCCACTGTGGGAACACACTGATCACCGAGGGGCAGCTCCTGCATTAGTCTGCCCCCTGGTGGTCAGTGCACATCATAGCAACTGGTCATCCCACCATTTGGTTGATTGGCATACTAGGGTTTTATTATTTGGATTGGTTGCAGCAGCACTTCCAAATGTTAACTGTTGCCTCCAGAATCAAGAGTTCCACCAAACTATGTCTTCTCCCTCCCCTGCCCCCATGTTGGCTGAGGACTATACTACTTAGATCCAGCAGATACCACATCTGAATACACAGGTTGGTGTTATCACCTGATTACATTTGCAGTAAATTGTCATTCTCCATGACTTGGATGGTGAATAAATAGGACTAGGAAGAAAACATCCCACCCCTGAATGATTCAAATTTGATGGCGGCACCAATCTCTGCAAACCCATGATATATATATATATATATATATACATATATATATACACACACACACACACACACACACACACACATATACATATATGTGTGTGTGTGTGTGTGTGTATATATATATATATATAAAACCATTTATTGATTTATAGAGAAGAAGGGAGAGGGAGAGAAACATTGATGAGAAAAACATTGGGTTGCTTCCTGTAGGCACCCTGGTCAGGGAACAAATCTGCAACCTGTGCATGTGCCCTGACTGGGAATAGAAAGGGCGACTTTTCGGTGCATGGAATGATGCTCAACCAAGCCACACCGGCCAGGGGTCTTGCTCTTTTACTGAAGTCTATTTTCTTTTTCTTTGAGCACATGAACATATGTAAAGTCTCTTATCAGATCATTCCATAACATTAATTTTATCGGTGAATTTAATTTATTGATGTTTGCAGTCTTTTAGTGTTAGGTTTCTTCTCTCCCCACAGTCCAAATGGTTTTAGCAGGGGACTCCATCCAGCTCCTCACTCCTTTGACTTTTATTCTAGAACCAGGCCTGTGGACGTTCAGTGAACTGGGGATATCACAGACCAGACAGGCAGTGTGTGTCAAATTTCCTGTCCAAGTCCTGCCACCCCATTTCTGGGCCCAGGTTTAACATAATTCCCATCCAGCCAGGGTACAGGCCAAGTTCAGTGCAGCTCCTTCCCATTCTCTCAGTCACCATGGCTCTAGCCCACACACCACAGCCATTGTCACCACTCACCTTCTAAGGCACATGTGTCAAACACAAGGCCCGCGGGCCAAATCCGTCCCGCCAGGCCTTGCAATGTGGCCCGCACCGTGCTGTCATCACTGCACTCCGCTGCATTTCCATCACAATGACAGTTTATGACTGTTCAGTAAACCATTCGGCCCGCGATTTAGGCTGGATTTTAGATTTTGGCCCCTTCTCTGATTTGAGTTCAACACCCCTATTCTAAGGTAACAATCACTCACCGCCAATGAGCCAAGGCAAAACATTTTGAGAGCCACAATAATTCAGAAAATTAACTGCCCAAGAACTGCCAAAACAGGAAATGGGAGTAAGTAACTTATAATGCTGGGATTTTATAATGGGAGTAACTTATAATGCTGGGGAAAGCTTTTTTAGCCATGACATAATATTCAGATTATTTTTAAAATTCAGATTTCTTAAAAATGAAATGTGAATAACATTAAACTTTTGTATAGTGGTTAAGAAAAAAGTTTGTAAAGACAAACTAGGAAAACATCTACAACTCAAGACAAAGTTTAATTTCCCTAAAGTAGAAAGATTGGCAACCGAGTAGTAAAACGATGAGACAAGAATGGGTAGTACCCCAAGAGAAAATACAAATATCCAATAAACTTGAAAGTTTGCCAAATCTCACGAAATACAAAACAAAAAAGCAACGATGTAATTTATTTTTGCTGTACAGACTGGCAAAGTTTTAAAAATTAATAAATGTACAGGGTTGGCAAGCAGGTAAGAAAATAGTATTTCTGTATAACTGCAATAACATAAGTTAGTAAAAATCATTTGGCAAACTAAGTTAGCAATGTATTAAAAGTTTAAATTAAAAAAAAAATTTTTTTTTGATTGATTTTCCACAGAGAGGAAAGGAGAGAGATAGAGAGCTAGAAACGTCAATGAGAGAGAAACATCAACCAGCTGCCTCTTGCACACCCCCTACTGGGTGTGTGCCCGCAACCAATGTACATGCCCTTGACCGGAATCGAACCTGGGACCTTTCAGTCCGCAGACCGACGCTCTATCCATTGAGCCAAACTGGTTCGGCTGTATTAGAAGTTTAAATGTCCCCAGTCTTTGACCCATCAACTCTACTTCCAAAAACCCTAGAGTGATTCTCAGCAGGGCACAGAGAGGACCAAGGATATTCATGAGGCACTGTGGCGACACAACAGAGTGGAAATCCCCATATGCCTTTCACTAGAGGAGCCATGAAATGTGAGGCAGCTACATGCTGGAAGGACGCCACTGTCAACAGCAAGACAGATCTATGTGTCACATGTCCACAATATGCTGGTAAGAGAGTCACAAAGAAAAAAAAAGAAAAAAATCAACAAAATATGCTGGTAAGTGAAATGGTGAGTTGCAGAAGATTGGGAATAGAATGTTCACATTTAAAAAAATCAAAGTAGGTTGATATATGCAAACAGAAGGCAATATATTGAACGTTCACCAAGCTGCTAGCAATGGTGACCCCAGGGAGGTGAGGATAGAGAGTACTTGCACTTCATACTTACACACCCAAATATATTTTTAATGCACACATATTCTAATAACCAGAAAAATGCAAAGAAAGGCAAATCAAGATAAGTAAAATGTTTCATAATTATTTTAAAATTTCTTAACATAATGAATGATGGGCATAGCTCTAGTTTATCTGTCCATATTCATACTAAGTATGAAGTAAAGTAACCAATAGATCCACTATTACAGATGACCAGCATAATCCCAAGTTTTCACTTGGTCATAACTTCCTTTCCAAACTGTGCTGCTCACCTCAGACATAGTGTGGATACCCCATGGATAAGAGCCAACTCACTTGGCCGGGCATGTGTCAGACCATTGCCCAGTGTCTCCTGGCTGCCATGAATAATCGCTGGGTGCACAAGCAGACAGAGCAAATGCAAGAGAAGTCAGGCCTGGATTCTCAAAGGAGTCATAGCCTCTTGCCAGACAAATGCTTCTGAGAATTCACTGACATCCATGTTTCTCCCCAACCTGAGGTTCACAAAGTATCCAAGATGCTCACCCACGGAGAAACAGGGATGTCCTCTGGCACAGAGAGCAGAGGTTAAAGATTTACTGGAATATCTCTGGATTTTAGGAGAAGATGGCTCCAAGGACAGGAGACATTTGTGACTGGTCTCAGTCAAGGACAGCTCACAGGCCTCTGCAGCCGCTCCCCTCACTGCATCCAGGTAGTGGGCCTCTCCCACACTCCACCTCTACCATTTCAGCAGGGGCTGGATGCAGGTCCCAGCATGCCTAGCCAGATAGCAGGAATGGAATCCTGGGGCCAGTGAACACCAATAGTGACCAGATTTCTCTAAAGATGGGGAAAACCTTGGCTTAAAAAAATGGGGGACTAAATTTCTCAAATGCAAAATGTTCCTCTACCTTTCTCAATTATTTGCATAATTTTGTCAAGTCCAAACGTAGTTTAAAATAAGGCAGGTTGTTTCTCTCCACTCGGCCTTTATCCTTTGGTGATGTCCAGGCCTGTGCTGCAAAATCACCAGTTTCCTACTGCAGGTGCCTCTCAGTTGGCTATTTTCTCAATCTCATCCAAATCATCCGTGTCTAGTCTTTCTATTTTCTTATCTGAGAATAAAAAAAGTTTCAGAGAGAGATCAACATGGGGTTACATGGAGACACACACCTAGGGAAAGTACAGCCCAGCAGGGAGAGAAAACACACAGGTCTCTGCCCTGGCTAGGAATGAGCCCCTGCGTCTGCCCACAACCACCCTCCAGCTAACCCCAAAGGCTTCTGGTGCCTGAGACACAGACACTGACAACAGCAGGCCGAGTCCAAGGCCATCAGCCTGGCCAAGGGGAACTGACATCCAGTCCTAACACTGAACTCCCCAGGTGAGCTCTTTAAGAATGTCCCAATTGTAGGGGAGGAGGGGATTATGTAAAGGGACAAAGCCTCTCTAGGGGCCACAGGATACCTACCCTTCCACCCATCCCGGACTTGCCCCTATAAAGAAAGGCAGGACACGCCCAGGACTCACTAAAATGCTCCTGGATTCTGTTGAGGATGTTCATGCTGTGCTTGCTGTCCACCATGTTCACTGCCAGGCCCCTCTTGCCAAAGCGGCCAGTGCGCCCGATCCGGTGCAGGTAAGTCTCATTGTCTGGGTTCCCATCCTTGTCCACAGGAAGGTCAAAGTTG